GAATTTACCGACTTGAATAAACATTCAGGTTGTTGACATGCAATACTGCGCCATAAAATATCGAATTTAAGCTGTTGCTGGATAAAGCAATCTGCTGTGATGTTTTTTTTTTAATTTATTAAAAAGTGTGAAGCAATACAACAAAATAAAAATATAACAGTAACAATTTTTTTTTTGTATTTTTAATAATTATGCTTTATTTATCGTATCAAGATATGTAGTATTTGTAGTATCCAATGTAAACAGTAGACCGGAAATGACCCGAAAAAAGTAGTTCTGTCAAGGTCAAAATGTGTATTGATGAGGTGTCTGATAAAGCTTGGGGTGACTAATAAAGCTAGGTTTATCAGGCATGCACTTTATCAACAGAAATCAATGTAATGACATGATAAATTCCAAACCATGGCCTTGTAATGTAAGATAGGAAGAACAATGTTGATTTAAATGAATTGATAAAGATGTACGTTTTATTTTCAATTCTGTACGGATACTTCCTAAGGCCACAGTCTGATATTTTTAATCTTTTATTAGGAAATGCTTTCGTGAGATAAGAGGTTGCTATCACCCAACTATAGATACTTTTCGATAAAGACAAAGGAGACAATGTCTCCTATAATTGTAACTTAACAGAAACTCTTTTACCCCTCTAAGCATACCTTTCAATAATTAGAGATACTTTCATTCTAATGTGACTTAGGTATACCTTACGTTTTTCTAAAGCCTATTACCTTTAGCGTAATTAGGAACGACATTCACATAAATAAAAGATACTACATGTTAAAAAGTAATTATATAGGACATATCCGTAGATAATTGAACATATGACGCACATATAAAATAAGATAAGATAAGAAATAAGAAAAGAAAAGAAATTCATTTACTATAGTAACATGTGTAAAATCAATGATGTGATACATGTGAATTCAGAGTAACTGTATTTACATATAACCCAATGGACCTTAAAGTCTCCAAGTCACCTAATATTGACAATTATAATGCGTTTTAATTTGCGTTATTACGCCTTTTGGTTCGCGTTACTACGCCTTTATTTGCGTTACTACGCCTTTTGATTTGCGTTATTAAGCCTTTTGGTTCGCGTTACTATGCCTTTATCCGCAGTACTACGCCTTTTGATTTCCGTTATTACGCCTTTTGGTTCGCGTTACTACGCCTTTATACGCGTTACTTCGCCTTTTGATTTGCGTTATTACGCCTTTTGCTTCGTTAAAACGCGAATTAAATTGATATTACGCCTTTCAATTCGCGTTATAACACCTTAATTCGCGTTAGTACGCCTTTTGATTCGCGTAATAACGCCTTTATTCACGTTATTACGCATTTATTCGCGTTACTTCGCCTTTATTTGCGTTTCTACGCCTTTTTCACGCGTTATTACGCCTATTGATTAGCGTTATAACACCTTTATTCGCGTTATAACGCCTTTGCATTTTATTTTTTTATTTTATATGACACTATTAGGCTTTCGTACAAATAAATACTAGAAGGTTAAAATCTTAATTTTCGTTCTAAACCAAAACTTAAAAAAATATTGAAAAAGAATTGAAGAGGCGCCTTGATTTCGTACCGATTTTATGTTCGTTTTCTAAAGCAACACCTGTTATATTTGGGGCACTAACATCTTTATCATATTATTGTTAAATGTTGCAAAACTCTTAAATCTTATAAGATTAGACAAGAAACAAAGAAATTAGCGGCGCTACGTATTGATTCAGTTACATTGTAAAATAACGCGTAGATTCTCCAAAACGCACTTCGTCATGCATGTATTTTATAAAAGGAAATAATTTTTTAGACAGTATAAAAGTGAAATATATGGAATAAAGTTTTACAGAATACCAACATTATGAAAGTCTTATGCTAAAAAATAATTGAAGCGAACATCTGTTTCTCGAACTAAATTTCCGAGTATTTTTCCAAAGGCTACCACGGTCATTTTAAAACAATTTTCATGCCTACGTGTGTTGAACAATTATTTGTTTTATTATGTTTAACCATCATTTTGTACATTGAAAGTATCGTTTAATAGTTAATCAGCCCGTTTACAAATAACAGACTGTCAAATTCCTTAGAATGGAGTCTTCTCGTAGTCGCTACAGGCAGTAGGAATCCGCGCGTTACTCTTAAACATGCTCTTTACATATCTGCTCAAATAATATTTTCATCCTTTCATGATTATTATTTTTTGTACGAATATAAAAAAATGTCTTAAATATAACATTAAACTTGATATCTTACTAAGTGTTTAGTCATTTCACAATAATACAGAACCGCATACACATCAGTGTATACATCAACCTTAACATTAGCGGCGATTGGTACATGTGTTAACTTTTCTATCTAAATAGTTATGGAAGGAATATTTTCACAAATTAAACATGATATTTATGTAGAAATGAATAATCTTTAAAAGTGTTATAATAATTTCTTCAAATATGAATTATAATATGATTTTAGACGGTTCAAAGCAATCGCTCAAAATCCAGGCGCATACGTAGATGCCATGAAAATAGCACAATATCTTGTCGCGCAGCTAATGTACTTTTACCAGTTTTATGCATTTTGATTGTGTTGTATACATGTATGTTGTATAAAGTCTAGTATCTGACAGACATGCGGTCAAATGAAAACAATGCGAAAGGAATTAATATTTTCGATAAACGTTTGTTATTTACTGTTATTTCATATAAATTGCCATGACAACTAATGTTCAAATAAATGATATACACAAATAATTTAAAAGTGGTTACCAGGCATCTGTAGACTGCTTAAATATAATGTGAAATGTATGTCGGTCAAAAGCTATACATAGGTTATGTTTTTGTGTTATGTTTATATATGAATAAATTTGTTTCGATTTGATTTGATACTCATATACATGTCACTACAACTGCATTGGCTAAAGTAAACAGCTTCTCACTTCCCATCGAAGCGTGCTCGTCGCTGGCAAATGGCATCGGCAGAATATCTTAAGACTTGGAATGGCGAATAACAGAACTTGAACTTGAAGAGTCTTTTTTCATCCTTTTCCAAACTTTTACAATATTAAAATTTTAGACCGCTTGGCCGCCAGGCCGCAAACTTCACAAAAATGATAAAATATAAAGGTTCTCTGAAAGTGATTTTATCCATTAAATAACAAGAATTGTCTTTAGAACTTCATTAGATGACATTTTATTGTTTAAATAACATTTAAACAACATTAAAATTTTGGCTGCCAACTTTACAAAAATGGTAAAATCAAAACGTTTTCTGAAAGTGATTATTTTCTTTTTATATACCTTTTTAAATCATATATAGTCTTAAGAACTTCATAAAGTCCCGTTTATATCATATTCTTAAAATTTTATACAACTGTAAAATTTCCGGCTGCCAGGTCGCTATTGAAAAAAAAACGTTCTAAACGTACATTTTTACTGTTATATAATTGTTTATGATAAGATATGTCAGTCAAAATTAATTAAGAGTCGTTTATCAATTCTTTTCCAACTTTTTAGAACATTAAAATTCTAGGCCTCTGGGCCGCCAGGCTGCCAACTTCACAAAAATGATAAAATAGGAAAGGTTTCTCAAAGTGACTTTCTCTTTTTATATATCCTTTCAAAAACAAGAATTGTCTTTAGAACTTCATTTAATGCCGTTTTATTGTTTAAAGAACATTTCTACAACATTATAAATTTTGGCCAGGCCTCTAACTTCACAAACATGAAAAAATGTTATCTGAAAAAAGATTATTTTCTTTTATATACCTTTTGAATATCAAGAACAGTCTTAAGAACTTCATAAAGTCCCGTTTTTATCAAAATATAACAGTTCTACAACTGTAAAATTTCAGGCTGCCAGCTCGCTATTGAAAGATAAAACTATCTAAATGTGATTATTTTACTTTTATATAACAGCTTAATGATAAGACATGTCTTTAAAACGTAAGTAAGAGTCATTTTTCAATTCTTTTTTCAAACCTTTACAACATTAAAATTCTAGGCCGTTGGGACGCCAGGCTGCCAACTTCACAAACATGATAAATTAATAAGTTTTCTCAAAGTGATTTTTTTCTTTTTATAAACTCTTTAAATAACAAGAATTGTCTTTAGAACTTCATTGACCCCCCTTTTGTTTATATAACATTTCTACAATATTTAAATGTTAGACCGCTAGGCCGCTGGACCGCCAGGCCGCCAACTTCACAAAATGATAGATTAAACAAATCTGTCGAAGTGATTTTTTTCTTTTCATATACCTTTTAAATATCAAGAATAGTATGTTGAACTTCATAATGTCTCGTTTTTATCATACCTAGAATATTTCTACAACTGTAAAATCTCCGGCTTTTTAAACAAAAACGTTTTTCCTAAAGTGATTTTTCTTTTTATATATCCTTTGAATAACTTAAAGTAACCAGGATTGTTCATAGAACATCATTAATTGCCGTTTTTATTGTTTTTTATAACATTACTACAAATTAAAAATTTAGGCCGCAAGGCTGCAACCTCTACACCGCTAAGACGCTGGGCCGCCAGGCCGCTGGACCGCCAGACTGCCCACTTCACGCCGCCAGGCCGCCGTGCCGCCAACTTCACGCCGCCATCCCGCTGAGCCGCTAGGTCGCCTACTTTACACAGGTAGGCTGCTGGGCTGCAAGCGGCCCACAGGCCTCCAACTTTACACATCTAACACTTGTCAGGTAAAAGTGGTCGTTTGATGAAATGATTGATCTTTATTAGCTGACTAATTAGCGGTCGCGTTGAGCAAATGTCGCCTTATATATTATATATAGGGAGAAAATGATCGGGGGAATTTAAAGTGGTCACATAAGAGTCGCTTAATACATGTGGTTGCATGGGCAAAATAGATTATATTTTGATAAAGTAGGTATTAATTTCTCATAAAATGTTCATGTCTTAAACATGCATTTAACGCCGTTATTCTAAGAATTGGTTGCGAATGGATGTCATATAGTAAATCAATTTGAAATATTTCAGGGAGATGTGACACCACTTGTGAGGTTGATCGTGTTGGACCAAACTGTCAATTCAGTATGTATGACTTGTTAGGATTACTTACACAGACACATGTTTAAAAGAGTGATACAATTTTTTTATTTTATGCTTTTCAGTGGATAACTGATTTATCCATGAAGATTATATTTAATAATTTCACAGTAAAAATTATCAAAATATAATTTCACACTTTTCAATGCGCTATGATGAAACTACTTTTTTAAGATTTTTCCCATGTGGTACCTCAATTTTATTTTTGCAAACAATTCTGACAATGTCAGGCTGTTTAAAGAAAACACAAAGCTGAAATTGATAAATAACTTAAATGTCAAAAGTAATAAAAAGAAGAAAACTAACTTCTTTTCATTCAAATTCAAATCACCAAATTTCGTCTCTAATTTTTTTTGTTTCATTTTTACAGTCTGAAAATACATTCCTTCCACATGCAAACTGCTCTTGATGACATTTGGGCATATTAAAGTATCAATAACTGCCGTATGCTTTATGAAGAATTGAAAAGCATAGACAGCTATCAGCTCGTAGAACAAGTAAACCACCCAGCGTTCCGAGCAAGTTCCAAACTTTCCATTTTCATAGCTGCTTTTGTCATGTTTTCACATCTGTCAACACTTATTTTATGTCTGTTTCAATCCTCAAATATGTTTTCTTTCTTTTTAAAAGGTGTATGACTAATAAATCCAAATGATATCCCTATGAATCAAACACAATTATTTTCCTCCCGTGAAATACACAACTTTAAAAAATGGCTGCCGCTTACATTTAACAAAGCCAGGTCTAATATAAATTCGCAGTAATTAACAGAAATATGGATGGATGGTTGGAATTTTCTCCTACAAGAATTGTTTGTTTTTATTATTAAAACAAGTGATCATTCATATTTTTTGAACAAAATAAATAATATCACTGTCATTTAACGTTGATTGTCGGACTTATTTTTCAGCTCAAGACTTCTTGTTTTTAATGAGAAATTCCGACTAAATGGGGCTCTCAATGGGGAAAACAGATTTTGATATTTACGTTAATATTATGGAAAATTCGTTTTAACTTGTTTTTTAGCATAAAATAAAAAGAAAATGTGTTTTTTTTTTGTGTAAGATGTAATTTTATTTCATCTCGTGAACTTTAGAAACAGTATTCTCACTCGTGGCTACGCCACTCGTGAGAATACTGTTTTTAAAGCCCACTCGATGAAATAAAATTTCATCTTACACACAAACAAACAAATATACTCTATATCATTCAATAATGTCATTTTTACATTTAAATGAAAAAAATGTCAATTAATGAGCGCCACTAAAGTTAACTGCTTGCGTTTGCATGATTAGATATACTGTTTTGTGTTATAATTACCATTCACTTGTCTTTTTACGTGTCGGTCTCTACGTAGCTCTGTTAGTGACATTGTGCAGTTAGGTGTGTCTTACGTTTGAACAAAATGGTATTTTCTTAATTGGAAAAAGAGAAATACATTTTCGTTCAAAATGGATTAAAGGAAAAGAAATAAAATTCCATTCAAGAGAAATAGAATGTATGCAACAACATCCAAGTATTATATAACATTAGCGGCTTGGCGTTAATATAGGTTATTTGAAAACAAAGATTAAAATAAAAGTGAAACATAATGAAGAATCTATGAATCTAAGAAATTTCATTAAACTGTTCATGATATATTTGTTTGTTTGCGTGTCAGATGAAATTTTATTTCATCGAGTGAGCTTTAAAAACAGTATCTCACGAGTGGCGTAAAGTCTTGTTTGTTTGTGTGTAAGATGAAATTTTATTCATCGAGTGAGCTTTTAAAACAGTATTATCACGGATGGCGTAAAGTTCACGAGATGAAATAAAATAACATTTTACACAACAAACATTTTTTTTTATTTCATGCTTAAAGTCAAGTAAAAACGAAATTTCCATGATATAAACTTTAATATTAAAATCTGCTTTTCCCACTGGTAGCCTCTATTACGTATATGTATCAGTCGAATTTCTCACGAAATACAAGAAGTCTTGGGCTGAAAAGTAAGTTAGACAATCAACGTTAAATGGCGTCGATATTATTCATTTTATTCAAATAATATGAATGATCGCTTGTTTTAATAATAAAAACAAACAATTCTAGTAGGAGAAAAAGTAAAACCATCCATCCATATTTCTGCTACTTACGGCGAATTTATATTAGACCTGGCTCTGTGAAATTTAAGCGGCCGCCATTTTTAAAAGTTTTGTATTTCATGGAAGGAAAATAATTGATTCAGAGGGATAACACTTAGATTTGTTAGTCATACATCTTTTAAGAAAAAAGAAAACTTATTTGAGGATTGTTACAGACAATAAATAAGTGTTGATTGATGAGTAAACATTCAAGAAGCGGCTAAGAGATTTGAAAACATGGAATGTTTAAAAACCTACCTTACGAACGCTGGGCTGATGTCTGTCATTGCTTTTCAAGTTATTAGGCATCTATTGCTCGTAGGATACCTAAATATACCAAAAGGTCATCAAGAGCAGTTTTGCATGTTGAAGGAATAGTATCAGATTGTTAAAATGAAACAAAGATTTATAGACGATATTTGGTGATTGGTAATTTGAATGAATTCAAGTAAGTTTTTCTTCTTTTTATTAATTTGAAATTTCAGTAATTTCTCATTACAGCTTTGATTTCTCTAAACAGCCCTGACAATTCAGAATTGTCAACAATAATAAAATTGAGGTACCGCATTTTACTGTGAAATTATCAAATATAATGTTCACGGATAAATCAGTTATCCATTGAAAAGCATACAATAAAAAGACCCCCCCCTCTCTCTCTCTCTCTCCCTCTCTCTCTCTCTCTCTCTCTCTCTCTCTCTCTCTCTCTCTCTCTCTCTCTCTCTCTCTCTCTCTCTCTCTCTCCCTCTCCCTCCCTCTCTCTCTCTCAATCTCTCTCTCTCAACGGCATGCGCTGCTTCAGTTTTCAGTGCAACTCGTTAACCACTCGATTGTGTCGTTTCTAAAAATGGTGTACATATGATTGCTGTTATATTTTATGATTGCCATGAATGATTTTCTTGTCGGGATTACAAGTTTCAATTTAGATGATAATGCATTTTATGTAATCAAATGAAAAACTAGGTTACATCACGGACATAAATCAATATTTTTCAATCACTCTTTGTTTGTATTGCCTTTATTCGCACAGCTGTTTCACGCAATTAACGTCACTGTCACGTGTTTTCAGTTAATATGCATAACGTTATAAAGAAAACTGTTGTTTTGTCACTACAGCCTCACGAAATTGCAATAGCTTCGTTTAGATATTGCAATGTTTGACACGATAGAATGTTTCATAAATAATTTACAATGCTGCCATTTAAATGCAATATTTATAAAAAGTACAATAAGTACTTGGTAAAAACAAAAATCATTTAAAAAAAGTAAGTAAACGTACATTTTATAAGTCCTCTTATTACTGAGTTGCATTTCATCACATATTTTTCTGTTTTACTTTTCTCCCAGAAAATATTGCATACAAGAAACCGTCACGTCACGACAGTAATATCGATCGACCACTTTATTCAGAGAATGCTAATGATGACAGCTTAACAACATGCAGCTATACGTCTGATAAAAAAAAAGCTGCACCTTGGTGGAACCTTTGGTTATCGGAGATAACAACATTCAAGAAACTTGAGTTTGTCACTATAGACAGCCGTCTGAGTAAGTTTTTTTTGCTGTGCTTCAAATTTGAAATATAATGGGGTTTGTATCATATGTTATCATAAAGTGCGACAAATATGACTGTTAAATAGGCCGAATTATTGTTTTAGTTATAATTGTGCAAATATGTAAATAAATGAATTTTGTCTAATTTGCTTTTAGTTTAAACATATTTTATTCATCAATTTTTACAAGCATGTAACATTTTTACATCACAATATATATGGATTTATATATAGTATATAATATATATATATATATATATATATATATATATATATATATATATATATATATATATATATAATTTGCTTTTGAATCAAACTTATTATAATCGTTACAAGAAGAAATAATTGTTGCAATAATTTCAAGTATAAACTATTTAATACTAGGTATGTAAAAGTGGTGGACTCCAGCTCTGTTTTTTTTACATTTTTATAATTTGCGTACAAGATTTTAGAAGAATATAATAATTATATATATTCATATACATGAATATGCCCTTAAAATACAGTGAAAAATACAATATGTTCTCATACAACAATTCTATGAAAATAACAATGTAAAAGGTATGTCACATGCGTCATTATCTTGAAACTGCTCTTCCGAATGTTCAATGCCACTGGATGGTTTAACTATAACCAGTTTTTGATAAAGCGAGAAATACAGCGGCCACCCTCTCATATAGGATAGAAAGCCGGCATAAAACATTCGCTCTTTATTGATTTTGTTTTTCTTTTGTAAATTCGGCAATCATTGGACATAAACTTGTAAATAAAATTAGTAATATGTCAATTAAAAACCGTTATAATCCTATATTTGAAATAATATGATTGTGTCAAGTAAAGTCAAATACAACATAAATTGAAACATAATCCCTTCTGTCAATTTACTTATCGAACAAATATAGGTTTTGCTAAAATTATTGTGTACCGCCAGAACATTTATGGAAAATACGTATTTATCCTAATAAATAAAATACAATACAGTTTTAAATGTTGACCGATGTAGAAAAAACATGCCAGACAGCTTGCAAACTTTTCATTTTGTCGACCCCTCCTGTAACAAATTTGTAATTGACGTTGCTAACTTCGCGACAATTCGTCACTTTCTCCTTAGCCCCATCTCTGTCCGTGATCTTATACTCGCCATTTTTGAACTACTTGCGCCACCTGAAAACGCGTGACCTGCTGACCTATTGATTTTCCTTCGTTACTTTCATTTTCTTGTTGTAGCCTTAGTAGTATGTCCTACTTTTTTGCAAAATTTCACGATCACACCAATTTCTAGTTTTTTATACGGGCGTCGTTATGTCTCGATTAACGCTACTGACTATTGCTGTTCAAAACATATTTGTTTAGCCATACTTTGTCCAATGTCCAAGTCGAATATCAGGATAATGTTGACTGAAATCTCGATCGATGTTCTTTTTACATTTTCACCCTTTTGTGTTAAGGCTAAGCTATGGGTATTAGAATATAGACAAAAGATATATGAATGTATTATTCTAATTTTAATATTAAAAAATATTCCGTGACATATCACTCAACTTTTGCAACTACCAGTTTTTTGCAACCATTATCAAATTTAACCATTCTGTTGCACTTTTGGCAATGGACTCTAGAGCCTTTGGTCTTTGTATTTGTTAATGACTCTGTATCTAATTTTACTATAGGTCACTTTCCTAACTTTGAGGTAACAGTGTACAATACAACTGAATCGAATTTCAAATTAAAAGGACCAGTATCAGGAGGACAAGTTTGTTATAATCATAATAACTATATACCACAAAGTACAAATATTAACGTCACATGTAATGGATCCCCTGTTGGTAACCTAATAAGACTTCAACTTCATAGCAAAAGATTTCAACTTGTACTTTGTGATTTTCGGTTATACGGAGGTGAAAATTTAATTATTTTAAATTATTTTATTAGTATTTTAATCTTTTTACTGTGACGATTTAATGTTAATGCTAGTTATATTTCATTCGACATTTTGTAAGCTTAAAATTATATTAGAAAGACTAATAGTCATTGATATTTTTGTCAAAAGCGTGATATGTTTCACATTCAAGTGAAATAACTTTCAAACTTTATAGATCTATTATTAATAACGTAGAGTTATTCTTACCACTGACAGATTGTTTTAATGGTTTTTATGGAAGTGACTGTCAAAAATGCAGCGATAACTGTGAATCTTCGAAACATCAGTACTGCGATTCAAATAATGGACATTGCCCACAAGGTTGTAAACCTGGTTGGGAAGGTGATCGCTGTGAAACAAGTAAGTTCTTTACAACATATCTACACGTTTTTCTAATTATTAAAAATCACTATGCGTTTTTATCTATAATATCAGTTTAAATATAAGTATGAAATCTCTTTTAGACATCAAATGTTTCTAAAAATCTTATTATCTTAAACCAAACATATTCTAGTTATAACTTCTACATGTATAACAAGATTAACAATGGTGTTTATTTTCAATTCAAATTTGTTAATAATTAATCTCATCACAGAAGTTATGTTTTCAAACAAGCATCTGTGTAATGCAGACTTAAATTTCAAAAGTACTGCATGCCAAGGTAGTGTTACTTTAATATGTAACTGTGATGGCAACTGACGATAAAACTGATCAAGTGAGTAATTTGACATCAAACGAAGCCATGCCAATTGTTACATACAGTCGCCATGTGCAAGTTTTTTTATGACAATTTCAGGGGCGGGGGCTGGATGTTTTCAGAAACGATATTTAGTTTTGTTATCCAGTATGCTTTTTATGTCTAACTAAAAGTATATTTTTCTTTTTTATGAAATGAGATGTATAAAAAGAATAAGCGGCCCTTTTCAGTATTTTTAAAACTTCCTATTTTTATTGTTAAAAGAATA